GGCTGGGGATTCGAACCCGCCACCTTAGGTGTACATGGCTGGCGCCTTAGCCGGTTGAGCTATAGGCGCTGAGCCAAAATTTCAAAATATTAACATATGCTCCTTTTCCTTTTTAAGGACCATTCTGCTGATCAAAGTTTTAGACTATCACAAGTGTATGTGGCAGAATGTGGTTCTTACCACATTCTTACCACTCATCATTCCTCATTCCCATCTGCAGCAGAGAGGCTCAGTATTAGAAAACTTCATTGTGGGTGGTGCCTGTGGTTCAAAGAGTAGGGCGCCAGCCCCATATACCAGGGGTGGCAGGTTCAATACCAGCCCTGGCTAAAAACTGCAGGGAAAAGAAAAAGAAAGAAAAGGAAACTTGATTGTGGGCTCAGCACCCATAGCACAGTGGTTACAGTGCCGGCCACGTACACTGAAGCTGGCAGGTTTGAAACCAGTCCAGGCCAGCTAAGCAACAATGACAACTGCAACAGAAAAATAGCCGGGCATTGTGGCAGATGCCTGTAGTCCCAGCTAGCTTGAGAGGCTGAGGCAAGAGAATCACTTAAGCCCAAGAGTTTTAGGTTGTTGTGAAATGTGACGCCACAGCACTCTATCTAGGGTGACACAGTGAGACTCTGTCTCAAAAAAAAAAAAGAAATAAAACTTCATTGTGCTGTGCCAAGAATGAGTATTACTAACAAGAGCTCATGTTTTGTCACACCCATGCTCCACTCTGAAAGACCTGACATTTAAGACAAAACGACTTGCCGATTGGGATTCAGGCAACAATCTACAAAGGGTTTGTCCACCATAATTGGATGAAGCCAGGACTCTGGGGACATAGGGACAGGAAACGAAGTACAGGAGATCCCCAGGCACAAGCAAGGCACTGACCAGAAAGTACAATGAGGGTAGAGTTAAGGAAATGTCTGCAAGGTCCTCTCTAAGACTGAGCTCTTTCCAACACTGAACTGAGCCCAGGTGCTTTTCTAGATATAGGGGTTCAGGTGGATGGAGCATGAAAGCCTGTTGCTACTTGACTGAGAAACATGCAAAGCCCATTTTCTTCCAGCCAACAAGTACTGCAGTTAAACAAGAATTTCCTAGTTATCACAGAGAAATCAAGATTTGCTTCCTTCCATGTATATTCCTACCTTTGTTGTGGTCTTCCTAGGTTGTCCCCATTTCCTACCTCATGAGGATGCTCAGCACCCTTTGACCAATCATGGACATAACTGGCCTCCCCAAGAGCCAACTCAGATGCAACAGATGCCTGTGCAAACCCCACAGTGCAGGAAATTCCCTTCTATAAGCAACCATGATTGTGACTCTGGATCCTGGAACCAGACCAGGGTGAGCAAGAGGGAAAAAGCCCTGGGGTAGACAGTGAGTTTGTGTTCTCTCAAGGAGTGCAAGAAATTGTAGACATGGGTTGGACCCATGACTCACCTTCCCAAGATGAGGGTGTGTACCACTGAGGAGCTGGCAGCAGCAATCAGGCTGCCGTCACCAAGCACTCTTCCTTCCCTGCTCCAGCACTCCCTCACGCCCACTCTCTGATTCATTCTCTGCCTCACTCTCCTGGTCACATATCCTCTGTGTGAGGGGATCCACATGGCTTGGGGTGTCCTTTTAAGAATGTGCAATGATTTGTGGTAGGGATGATAAAGCAACATGTGTGTAATGCAGGTTACATACAAAGGCCTGGTCACTGCTTTCTAGTAACTTCCAGCCAGCAAGGGCCCCATTTAGTACCATTCAGAGATGCAGGAAACCCCCCTGGGACTATAGCCCCACAACGCCTTGTGACAAAACTATTATATTTAACATGAAGTTAAAAAGAAACCACTATACAATTGCTTTTCCAGTATAAAAATTTATCATGGGAAAATTGGAGTTTTTTGAGGCTTTGTTTAACAAGGTGAAAGAAGACTAAAAACCATTAAAACTCTTTAAATTGTTTTTAACCTACTGAGCAGGATTTAAATCAAATAAATCCTCTATTATCTTAGGAAAGAAACTGTTTCCCCTAATCAAAAAAGTTGACTTCCAAGCCACATTCTTACCTTTACAGCCTTGTACACCTAAGGAGACTAAACCTCACCAGCAATGGCTCTTCTTGAGGTCAAGGTGGGAAGAACAGGCAATGTCCTGATACAGGTAGAGACTCAGCCAAAAGCAGAGTCTGTGAAATGTTAAGGTGACCATACAATTTATTAACCAACCAGAATACTTTTGAGAATGAAAGAGTGTGCTGTTAATTACTCAAGAATAAAAGGCATAAAATGAGACACATGGCCACCTTAATGATAAGGCAGTTTGGGAACTACATTTCCCAGTGTGCCTTGCTCTTGAAAGTCAAGACGCTTGATTGGCACCAAGCACCCTGGGACCCACGGTTAGCACCATTTAGGAGGTAAACAGGATAGGGCTGGTTCTGATGTGGAGGCGCCCACTTCCATGGGACATTTAACCAGACACAGGACACAACACCTGAGGTGAAATTTCAATGGATATTAAGTTAGGGTAGAGCTTCTCTCTCCCCAACAATTCCAGCTTCCAAAGATGTGGAGCTAGTAGAGCTGTCCGTTAGTCCACAGCCCTGTTTCTCCTGGCTGTTGCCTCTGCTTGCCCACATCACCAGTGCCCCCACTGCTGCTAGTCTTTTGGGGGATTCTGGGCCAGGTGCTGTTCCCACTCGACTTCAACCAATTTGTACAGCTCCATGGTGGCCTGGGCATCTTCCACAGAGGAATGTCCGCTTTTCCCAACCTGAATGAGGGAAGAATACAAGAGCCTGAAACCGTAAGAGAGAGGCTTTTTCTTCTCCTCCAGGCCCCACCTCACAGAAGACACAACTCTGATGGGGCCAATCCTTACCTAATTCCAGTTTAACTCCTAGGAAATCTCTGCTACTATCTGCCTCAATCCTCTCTGTAGCAACATGTGTAAGTCATATTATTTTAAGTTCTGTAGAACATACCAAAGACAGGCCTTCTGAGTCTCCTACTGCCCCTAGTTCCTTAACTGTGCTATATACAGCATGGCAGTCCATACCTCCCTGCCACATGGGCCACCTCTTCATGGGATGCCAAGCATGTGAATTACATGAGTGGTCCTTGCATCCAGTACATGGTCTTTTAGACCACCACAACTACCTGCTTTTTTCCTTTGTTAGGATTTTATATCCATCTAGGACTTTCTTCATTTTTTGAAGTAGGCCCCTAACCCAAAGCACATCCCAAAGTAGCCTGCCTGGACTTCTAAAACCAGAGGACTTCCAGAGTCAGAGCCTGGAAGAGAGACAGCAACAAGAGCCCCCACCACACCTGAGATGGGGGCACATGCGAGCTGGCACGTAGGAAGAGGCTACCTGGATATCCCGGTTCAGCAGCTTCTTGGTGAGACTCTTCAGAGACATGGTGGTATTCTCTGGGCAGTCCGCCTTCTGGTTGAGAAGGGGGATATGGGAGGTGTCACGGGTGAGGGACTTGGGGTGAAAGTACTGAAGGGCTTTGAAGTCATTGTGAATGGCATGCCCTACCACTATCTTCCCTGTGAGTATCTTCAAGATCTGGAACAAGTGCAGAAAAGAAGCTGGTGAGAAGAAAGTGAGTGGTGGAACTCCTGTATTCTTTTTTATTTTTTTGAGCCATGGCATCATAGCTCACAGCAACCTCAAACTCTTGGACTCAAGTGATTTTCTTGCCTCAGCCTCCTAAGTAGCTGGGACTATTAGGCACCTGCACAATACCCGGCTATTTTTAGAAATAGGGTTTTGCTCTTACTCAGACTGGCAAATCCCTATATTCTGAAAGCTCATCATGTCCTTTTGGGTTTTTTCCACCACTTGCCCACCTACCTCATCCTTGAAATGCTCTCTCCTCCAAGTATTCTTTCTACTGAAATCTACCTTCCTCTTCCCCATTAATAGGTAATTTCCATGGTGTAATTGAGTCCTATTTGGTTCCTTACCTTCCCATTAATCTCTATTCCAGTCACAGATTTGCCTTCAGTTCTAAATCTCACTCATTTGGGATGTCTGTGTAAGTTCCAGCTTGCCACCTGAAGTCCTGTTTTGGTTTTTCTTGAGACAGAGTCTCACTCTGCTGCCTAGGCTAGAGTGCCCTGGCATCTACCTAACTCCTTAACTCACAGCAACCTCAAACTCCTGAGTTCAAGTACTCTTCTGCCTCAGCCTCCTGAATAACTGGGACTACAGGAGCCTACCACAATGTTTGGCTATTTTTAGTAGAGATGAGGTCTCACTCTTGCTTAGGTTGGTCTCAAACTCCTGAGCTCAAGTAATCCACCTGCTCCAGGCATCCCACAGTGCTAGGATTACAGGCATGAGCCACCTCGCCTGACCCACTTGGAGTCTTTTAACTGTTATCATTAGGCTGGCTTCATACACATGGGTAGGACCATGGAGTTAAAGATGGGGTCCAGGCTAGGCACCTGTAGCTCAAGCTGCTGGGGCACCAGCCACATACACCGGAGCTGGTGGGTTCGAATCCAGCCCAGCCCACCAACAACAATGATGAGAACTAGAACCAAAAACTAAAAAAATAAAAAAAATAAGGGCAGCGCCTGTGGCTCAGTGATTAGGGTGCCGGCCCCAAATGCTGAAGGTGGTGGGTTTGAACCCGGCCCTGACCAAATTGCAACAACAAAAAAAGATGGACTCCTGGGAGGTAATGAAAGCCCAAAATTATATGCAAATAGATGTGTATGATCAGACTACAGCTTTCATCAAATTCTCAAAAGATCTATAAGCCATTAGAGGTTAAGAATCCGACAGCCTGAGTGTGTGTGGCCAGCGCCCTACCAGGGGTCCTCAAACTTTTTAAACAGAGGGGCAGTTCACTGTCCCTCAGACCACTGGCGGGCTGGGTAGCAGGCCCCAGGACGAGTCGGCTGCTAAGCAGGACAGGCAATAACACCCAGTGGGCCAGATAAATGTCCTAGGCTAGCTGCATGTGGCCCGCGGGCCCTAGTTTGAGGATGCCTGCACCTATTCACTGAGCTACAGGTGCCCCCAGGAAGTGTTTTCTGATGAAAACCAGTTGCAGGTGCTCCTGACTTCACCTACATTTTACTGTCCTCCATCACCCCTATTTCCTTTAACTTTACACATAAGCCCTTTTTAAAGCTGAGCAGATTGGCTATCTCTCCTGAGCCTGTGCTTAGATGTGCCTCTGTGCACAGGATGTTCAACTCTGTTATCCAAGTTAAACCACTTCTGACTGACTGTTGGCATATAAGGCATTACTGGAGCAAAGTGTGTCTGGAAAAGGCAAAGAATGTGGACCCAAAATTGAAATTAAGTGGGTCAAGGGCGCCCTCTGGCGGCCATCCTCCAAACCCTCCTTCACTTCTCTTCACGGATCCCAGCTCATCCTCCTTTGCAATTATTTGTCCTGCTCCCAATGTCCAGCCCAGGGCTAGACTGAGTGACATGAAAAACTGACATGCCCATCCTGTCTTTCAATGCTCTTCGCTGCAGGATACTTGTGCCAGTTACATATATATGCCCCAGCTCCTTTTGTCAACTTTCTGGCCTCTTCTATCACCATTTTCTTTTCTTTCTTTTTTTTTTTTTTGAGACAGAGTCTATGTCACCCTTGGTAAAGTGCCATAGCATCACAGCTCACAGCAAGCTCAAACTCTTGGGCTTAAGCAATTCTCTTGCCTCAGCTTCCCAAGCAGCTGGGACTACAGGCACCTGCCACAACACCTGGCTATTTTTTTTGTTATTGTTATTGTTTAGCAGGCCCTGGCCAGGTTCAAACCCAACAGCTCCACATGTGGCTGGCACCCTAACCACTGAGCTATGGATGCTAAGCCTATCACAAACATTTCCCATACTTGTCATAGGCTGCTTTTCTGTTTGAAAGGCTCTCTATAACCCTCCCCTCTCCGCTCGGCGCCTATGGCTCAAGCGGCTAAGGCGCCAGCCACATACACCTAAGGTGGCGGGTTCAAATCCCCAGCCCAGGTCCACCAAACAACGATGGCTGCAACCAAAAAATGGCCAGGCGTTGTGGAGGGTGCCTGTAGTCCCAGCTACTTGGGAGGCTGAGGCAGGAGACTCGCTTGAGCCCAGGAGTTGGAGGTTGCTATGAGCTGTGATGCCATGGCACTCTACCCAGGGGGATAGCTTGAGGCTCTCAAAAAAAAAAAAAAAAAACCCCTCCCCTCTCAACCCTAGGCTCCAATTCTACATGGCATTGCCAGGTTGAGTATTTTCCCCCAACACTCATGCCTGCTCCTCTGTCTAGTTTCTGGTTATTTCTCTGTGCAGATTCCCAGTTTCCCAGATTAGAATCCCACTTGGGACCTAAATAGGTCTTGACTAATTAAGTTTGTGATATCAGCTAATTGCATCTTCCTGGCTTTTGCCACTCCTGACCCTGACAGAACTTCTTCATCAACTGATATTCTCCCTCCCTGCACAAACCTCTGGGACCTTCCCAGAATGATATCCTTTGCTGAAAACTGACTTGGATCTCTCTCAACCCAGTTGCTGCCATCGTTATGGCCCATGTTTCTCACCTGGCCTCGAGCAATCTTGAAGGGTGTGGCATTTACCATGTGTTGTTTCCGGATACCACTCCATCTAGTCCGGTAGTCCACAATGTGGCAGGGGGGAAGGATGTATTCATCATAAAGCACGTCTCCATCGTAGCTGACAATGCTACAGCGAGCTAAGGAACTAACGTGCCCTTTGGGTCCTGTGCCCACCATCTCACAGTCAATTGCCACCATCTTTTTTGGCAACCTTTGGGATGTTCCAAAGCATTTATTCTCTGAATGAGCTTGAGTGGAGTTTTGTGGAGCATTTTTCTGAGGAGGGTTCTTCTGAGAGGATTTCTTCTGAGGCCCCTTCTTCTGGGAGCTGGATGGGGGGCTTTTGATCTTTGGAAGGGTACTCTGGAATTCCCCCAGCAAATCTATGTTAGCTACATCAGTCTTCTTTGAAGGGGCAGGGGTCAGCCAAGACACTGCAGCTTTTTTGTCCCCAGGCTGTTCTGACCCACTGCTGGAGGCAGCTGTCTTCTTCCTTTTGCGGAAGGTTGGAATCTTCCAAGTGCCATCCTCCCTAAGAGTTTCTCCTTTTTTTGGAGGTTCTGAGTGCAATTTAGGTGTCTTGCTAAGGGGCTGGTTCTTTTTATTCAGAAAGCCTCTCCGTTCCAAGAGCCGCCGCTTCTTGACAAAATTTCGGTGCTTGGCATTTCCTTCTAATGCCTTTTTGGGAGGAGGTTCCCCAAAGTCCAGATTGAGCAGTAAGGTAGACATGTGGACAGTGGGTGGTGGAAGAGCAGTTGAGAGAGTGACTTACAGATAAAAAGAGGATGGGGGACTCATTTTCTGCTGAATCCCATCGTCCAACACTTGGAGGTCTGTAGTACACCCTAGAGAAGAAAGTGATCCTGGTAACTGAACCCATAAATCTGGGAGATAAATGTGGTAAGACTGATTGTCATAGGTCTTAAGGTAGGAAAGATATCAGAGCAATCTCCCAGAAAGAGGGGAAATGAAAACGTCATGTGAAATGATGGAAGGAGCACTCGTATGAGCCAGGACGCCTGGGTTCTAGCGAAGCCCCACAAGTCACCAACCATATGGTTTTAGGAAGGTCATTCCCCATCTCCAGGTCTCTTGAAGGGGTTGGAGGTACCATCGAGCTCGAACTCTCTGAGTTCAGAAGGCCAGAATAGGAGAGTTCTGTACTGTGCCTGAGAAGGGAACATCTAAGGGAATTGTGGGGCGGGGGTAAGGTGTAGACCACTGTGGATGAATTCCGGATTGCCCTGGCATCCGCAGCGCGGGCCTCACAAATAAGATATACAAATCCAGTTTCTGGGTTAGGGTAAGGGAAATCCGCACGTGTCCCGCCCAAGTCCTCTTAAGTAAGGACCTTTGACACCATCTATCAGCGGAGGGTTGAATCGAGGGTCGGGATATCCCACCTCTAAAAGCAAGCTTTGGTAGGCGTCCCACCTCCCCACACCCCCGCTCACAAACCTACCTCCTAAACTGGACTCGCTAGGACCGGAAGCGCCCGGAGCCGGATACGGAAATCGGTGCGTGGCGACGGGGCCCGGGACGGCAGGCGCGAGGGTTGGAGCGCAACTGGGGGCGGCGCGAGCGCGCCCGCAGCGCCCCCACCTCGGGCAGCGAGGCCAGGGACTCAGAGTGCGCCAGGAGCGGC